AGAGCAAGAGTACATTATACTGATATTGTTACAATGGCAATTCAAAAAATAAGTAATAAAACACATTTTTGACAATTGTATTCCGAAAATTAAAATGATAAATAATTAGTATTATATGCATTTCAAATATTTATAATATTATGTATTTAAAAAAATATATAAATAAAGTATATTTGAAATATTATTCAGCCGTAATGCATATTATAAATTTATATTTTTCCTATGTAGTCTTTTAATCCATTTTTCAAGATCACTCTATGTCGTGTAACACGAAGCGAAGCACCAGAATAATACATATATGTATAGTTTCGTCTTGTCTAGCAGTATATAGTTTCAAGTATTAACTCTCTCCTGTTCTCCCTCTCTCCTGTTTCTCTTCATTTTTTCATGATTTTGAAGCGCACGCGTAGAAGAAATCTCTCTCACGCGTATCTCGTGGTGGCGATGATGTCGCAGTCAGCTGATCTCTCGCCGCGCTTTTTATTAATTATTAGCAAATTTATGGATCACAGACTCGGTTCGTTCGCTCGCAATTCCACTAAATTCGCCGCCATTATATCGTATGCGTACGGGATGCAGCTCGTTAAGACCGACGTTGAGGTAGCTGCTCTCGCGCAGCAACGTAACACGGCCGTTCTCTCTTCCTGTCTCTCTCTTTCTCTCTTATCCTTGCTACGACGAAATTCGAAATAACGGAATTAGTCTCGGTGAATTCAGGAAATTACCTCCATCGCCGTCGGTCGCGCCAAAGTTTTAATTGTACTCGGTACACATCTATGCACGCGTGTGAGTGCGAGCGTGAGTGGCCGTATGCGTGTGTGCACGCGATTGCAATTACGTTCTATGGCTTAATGTATATGTAAATATAAAATACACACATTTCGGACTATCTCATCTGCTTCCTTCCTATATCCTCTCTTATATAGATAATAATAACTTTAAGAGTCTGAGTGCACAGTAGATTCTGGGTAGCGATCAACTTTTTCCCTAGAGCGAAAATGTAAACAGTGAAACAGTTTGCGTGTATATGTGTAAATGTATATACATACATACATAAAAATTTTTACTTTTCACGTGTTTCCGATCTAAAGAAAAAGTTAAATATGAACGCTACCCTGGTCTGGAATTCGTGAGCTTCGTTTGCGCGCAAAACGTCGTAGAGGATACGATTGAATTTCGGATTACACGACTATTGCATGTATGTGTTATGAATTGTAATGGGATATGGCTTTTCGAATAAATTATATACGATGTTTTAATGAGCTTTTCTCTTCGAGATGCATCTTTGCTTTTAGAACAAATTTATATTGTAAAAATTTATACTCTAAAAAAGAGAAGTAATTTCTAAAAAAATTATTTTTCCTTTTTAAAAACTAGCTTCGAGATCGCTTGCAAGCATCCGTAAGCAGCTTGCAACTGGTAATAAATATTCCGTGAATATGCAATTTATTGCAGGATTACGATTTTACTACTAGTATTACCAACTAAGCTAATATGTATCTTACATTTATGCTGTACAGTTCCATATATCGTCATGTCAAGAGCTACGAAAAATTTATTATTCACGTTTTTATCAACAACAGTTTTAAACGTAGAGAAAAAAATTGTTAGCATATCACACAAACTGACGAGTCAAGAATGTGTTATATAAAAATCCTATATGATCGTATATATGTAAAAAGCCAGAAGTTGGTTTGAAGATGTGCGTTAAGAAATGTAAAAATAACATTGCGATCGAGAAGGAGCAAAACACATTGCTGCGAGATTTATAAACGATCCATTCCAAAATTAGAAACGGACTTTAAAACTGATATTCGCAAAAAATGAATATTTTATGCATGAAAAACATAATGTCAACAAAAATAGTTTAACAATTAAAGCAAAAGAATATGATAAATAAAGCAGGTGTTATGCAACGAAATAAATACGAGATAGAATTCAAAGATGTAATAATATTCTATAACTTCCTTGATCATTCGTCTATCTATCCTATTGTCGGTTTTTCCCATCAATATTGTAAACCGCGATAAAGATTGGAAGCCAAACGATGTAGAAAATTACTTCCTAGCATTGTTTGTGGTATAAAAAGTTTTTCAGTCGCGGTTAGTAGACTTATCGCAGAATTTGGTCACGATATATATATATATATATATGT